TAAGATACAAAGTCTTGATGGGAATACAATGGACTCGCTCAATTGCTTTGTTCTTTGTAAAAACCAACTACTATGATACTACACTGACTTTTGCAAGGCTGAGCACTCCGCGGTCTTTCTTCGCACCTATGTTTTGGTAGATGACGAATTGCAGGATACCCCAACATGGTATAGATTGTTGCTACCAGAAGGGAAAGAACATGAGAAAACCCCACGATACTGAAATTATAGTTTCTCAAGTTAGCGAACCAACTTTCCTAAGGATAGTATGCTCTTCAAGTTGGCAAGAAAATACCATGCACGACATATGATGGAATGACGAGGAGAGAGACTCTCCACATGTAGTTCTTAAAACCTATTACTGAACCGGACATACTTATACAGGCCTGCAGTCAATAAAAGTATACCTTCATATACTCGGTCCAGGAACCATGAGTGCAATGCAAACTGTACATTCTTATTTAGTGTGTTCAACATAGAACGTCAATCTTTCATCATCGTCCCATAAGACAAAACATATTTCCCTGACTATATATAGCGCAAACTAGAGCTTTTGTAACTTCGACAAATTCATGAGTTTAGCAGCGCTTTATAAGGACTACGATAATAGCCATCAGAGCCAACCCCATGACAGACGCTCCAAGAGCTTTCTCATTGAAGGGTCCAGCACTTCCCTCGTTGTTCATAGACGTCTTCTCCGCAGATGGGGGACTGAAGATGTTAGCAAGGAAGCTGGATATGTTACTAACCATCTCCTCCACCGTAAGCTTGATGTTCTGCAAGATGGTCATGAACCCATTTTCGTGGCCACCTTCAGAAATCTCTTCAACCTTCCTTGGAGATTTCCAATCATCAGAAAGATCATCGTCAGCAGATTCCTCCACTTTTGGCTCCATAAATGGGAACTGATGAACTGCTTACAGCAACAGGAAAATATTTCAAGACAATAATTTAAACATGAGAGATTCATTCCCACATGAGAGGCAGGGGATATGTAAAAGATGGATCATAGTGCAAAAGAGAGGTTAGGGATATCCTTACTGGAGTTTTGTGATTGGAGGAAGTCCTTGAGAGCCTCATTTTGCATAAACGCATCCCAGACTTTAGGATCACTAGCAATTGAAGCAACAACACTCTGGGAGGCAAAAGGAAAGAAAAGGAACTCAAGTGATTGCTAGTGAAATGACATCACACCAATGCTGGTTTTGATATCAGATAGCTCCATTCCATATTAATTATACAAACGATCTTACGCTTTGTTCTTGGGGAGGGTAAGTACCTGAGCAGCAGGACTTTGACTCAGCAGTGTAAAAGCCTGGACAGCATGTTTGGGTACTGGATTAGTTACCAGAGCCTCAACGGTAACTGAAGATTGGCTCTGGAAAGAATTTGAGAGCTCTGCTGGAAGTTGATCTTCACACCCAGTGATGTTTGTGGTTGATAAATATACCCTGGATTACCAAAAGCATAAGATCCAAGGGGAAAATGAAGATGGCACACAAAGACCATTCCCTCGAAATAGTCCAACAGGAGGGAGAGAGAGAAAGAAGAAGCAGAAGATTTTAGAGAAAAGCACAAATAAAATAAAGCGTCCCCCATCAGAAGCCACTCTTTTCCTTCCCCAGACAAATGAAGCTTGTCTTCAGCCAGAAACCTCCATCAATGTGTCGACAACCCCAATATCATAATCAAGTCTAAAAAGGCACAATCAATAAAACTACAGAAGCAAATGTATACAACTATCTTTTTACAGGTAGAAAACTAATGTCATACCAATTGATTGAGGAAAGTATATCCATCAAAACGAAGTGAAAACTTTTTTAAATTTTCCTGAAAAGCGGAGTATCGTTTTACTCATCATCCATGAATCTCTCTCTCCTAAAGAACCTCAACCACTTGAAAGAAATGGAAGTTGCAAATTTAGGGCAAGAGTCGCCCAGAACATCAAATATGCACCCACTCGAAAACAGAATGATAAACTCACTATACGATGAGTAGGTGGAACAGCTAAAACAAACCGTGCATTTCACGGTTTTCAAGAATGACATACGATGGACTGAAAATTCACAAACAATAATATATTCCATGAATAGTTTTTCATCTAACGTCTATAGACAATGCTAAATAGAAAAAATAAAGACAAATGTTGTGAGGAATACAGAACAATATACCCATAAAAATTCATTTGCCATTTAACTCTATCTGACTCTCCACAAAGAAAATGACAATTTGCAAAAGATAATCAAACAAGGAGTTCAAGCTCTACAGATAACATTAGGAGTCAGCTAGCCAATAGACTTGCAGAATTGGCGGCAATGTATACGGTGCAGCATGATGATGAACAATAAGCAGCAGAGAGTTACGAATCAAGTCTGCACTTCATTCCCTCTACCAACTTGGTGATCACTCAAATATATGAAGAGACAATCTTTGACGTTCAGAAGTAACACTTTAAAACAAGTGAAGACAGAAGTAAATACATATCATCCCAGATCGCTGCATGATACGGTAACTAAATAGTTCTCTTTTGCCTTTCTCCCCTAATAAGCAACTAAGTTTTCTTATGCTGATCAAATATCACCACTACGATTTTCTTCGCAGAAATCCGGACACAGAATGCCCATTCTCACAAAGCCATTCACAGCTATCGGCTTCCATCGTCGAACCCAATCTCCAGAGTAATTACTACCCACCATTTTTCTAAATAAAGATCAAAACTTCCACACAAACTAAGCTATTAGAACTGTATGCCATCCTTCACAGCAAACTAATCAGACAGAACGAGTACATTAAAACAGCACAAACGATGAAGAAAACCCAAATCCCAATCCACGGACACATGAACGATGGAAGTACACACTAGCAAGCAACAACAGTCAAGACGTGCCAAACAAAATGCTGAAGTTTCGAATTCAAATCCAAACGTACTTGTCAATAGCATCCTTCAATTCAGCAGTCGCCGCCTTGGCCTCTTCATAGCTCGGAGCGCCTCCGAACACGACCCTGGCCATCGGCTGGCCCACCGGCTCCTCCTCGAACCCGGCGAAATCCCAATCGTCCGCCTCCCACGCCAGCATCTGCGGCGCCGTCGCCCCCTGGGGGGCATCGCCGCCCTTTGCCGACGCGATGGCGGGCACCCTGACGCCGGAGCGGGCGGCGCTCCGGACGGACTGCGGCGCCGCGGGGGGCGCGGGGGCCCCGCGGAGCACCCCACCGATCCCGGCGACCATCGACGCGGCGGACCTCATCGCTGCGCCGCCTCCCATGGCGTTGACCGGCCGGAGCTTCGTCGGCCACACACGGCTTCGGAGGAGAGAGATATGGCGGTGGCGGTGGCGGTGGCGGTGGCGTTTCGGCTTCTCTTGCCACGTCCTATTGCTTAGCTCCGAAGCTAAAAATGAAATCTGAGAGACCGGATTTATATTGGAAAACCAGTTATTCATTTTTAAATATATAAAATATAATTTTGAGTGTTTTATATCGGATTCGTTATATTGATTAATTAATTTTTGGATATCTTCGAAAATTAGGAAACTTCCCGGAAAAAAAAAAGGATTTGCAAATATTTCACGACTAAGTAATATACTGTTTAGCAACTGTTTGCCTTATTTTCGCACAATAATCTAATCTAATCTAATCTAATCTAATTTTTTACATTCCCCCTTCCTCAAGCATAACTTTCGTTGATAAAGGCAATGTTTGGATAAAAAGATTTCTTGGAACCATGAGTATCAAATTTTCTTTTGTTTTTTCAATAATCTCTATCTATAGTTTTCTTTTGAGATGTTAGATCGAAAATGGTTGAAGTAGTCAAATAGGAGGATTGATGTAATTTGTTATCTTAGAGGATTCTTTTCATATCAAGAGACTTCTAATTGCCTAATTGGATAGAAGGAGATTTTCTTTTGAGTCTAATACCATAAAAAATTCGAAACTGGTACACTCATGCCAGATTAATTTTCGAGTCACAAAAAACCTAAAATCGATACATAGTGACAAATTTAAAAATTAGTGTACCAATTAATATGAAAATTAGTTTTAGATAAATGTGGCATGAATGTACCGATTTGAGTTTTTTACCATATAGAAATTTCGTTTTTGTTTTTTGTAAATGTGCCGTGAGTGTATCAATTTTATGATTTTTTATGATATTAACCCTTTTTTTTATCCCTTTGATCACTTATTTTGAATCGGTGATTATTCACGCTCTTCAATAGATGAGTTCTATAAAATGAAAGAAGACCAAACATGATTTGGGGTGTCTAAATTTAAATGACACAGTTGTCGCTTAGTCACTAGAAGATAATTGAGAGGTGTCTCATATCAAAATACTTAATGTGAGTCGGGCACCATATTTCCTTCGGCATGCCATGTCCTTTTTTGATTGATTTTTTTTTTCTTTTTGATGCATTTCTTCATTTGTATGCTATTTAATAATTTACTAAGAAAATACTAAGTCGGGTTTGTTCTGGATATACGTAAGCAATAAGAGTTGATCAAATTTTTAATTCGGCCACCTCTCTCGATTCTGGTTAGTGTATTACGGTGACTAGTTTGACCCTTAATTACCGAAGGTGTTTGCAACATGATCAATCTGCAACTTAGGTTGCGCATGACAACTTGCCAAACGGTGTTTGATTCTGTTCTTTTGTTCTCAAAATCAGTTTGGGAACAGAAATGCGTTTGTTTAATTTTTTGATTCTGGACACAATTTTGTCAAAAATTGGGTAGAGCTTTGATGTCAGCGTGGCAGAATCTGAGTCCATTCATCGAGCAACGTGGTTCACATGAGTCGGGAGGGAGAGAGAGAGCAGAGCGTGAAGGAAGAGTGACGAGAGAGATAGAGTCCCGCTTGAACCTTTGCAATTTGGCTGGCTCACGCGGGTGAGAATAGACTCGAATTTTGCTATGCTGGCATTAGAGCTCTACCCAATTTCTCCCTCCATAGACGGGAGGAACCAATTATGTATATCAAGGTCCAGATATTCATCTTTTTTGAAAAAATATACTTTCAGGATGCTGTCGATTGCCCTGAATGGATTGTTCCCTACCATGTCTTCAAAGCTTTGGGAGAAGAGGTAATTGTTTCCGGCAGTCCACCTACTATTTCTGGAGTTCTCTCATAGAAGTGTGAGCAAGACACTACAGCAAGTTGTCAACACTAAGGACGTGTTTGGCAACCGACCAAACAGTAACTATTTCTATTCTTTTGTTTCCAAAATGGCAACCGGCCAAACAGTAACTATTTCTATTTTTTTGTTCCCAGAATCAGTTTTGGAATAGAAATCTGTTTGATAAATTTTTTGTTTCTGGGCACAAATTTGCAAAAATTTATTTCCAGAATCAATAAGCAATAAGCAAAAAAAATTTGCAAAAAGTTGCTTCTTGATTCTGGGAACAAGAATCAGAAATGGAAAAGAAATTTTTTTTTCCTCTTCTTGTTCTTGATTTTCTTCTTCTTCTTCTTCTTCCTGGTCACCGGCAATCGGCCACAGGTCTAGGCGGGCGAGGGCCGCCCTCGCCAGATCCGGCATGGGCTACCCTCGTCGCCGCCCTCGCCGAATCTGGCGAGGGCGGCTCGCGGCAGTGAGGGTCCAGCGCTCGCTGGATCCGACGAGGGCGACACTCGCCCAAGCCACAAGCCGCCCTCACCGAATCTGGCTAGGGCGGTGGCGAGAGTCCAGCCCTCGCCCAGGCGGCGAGGGCCTCGACGCCCTCGCCGGCATTGGCTTGTGGCCAGTCGCTAGCGCCGGTGACCTGGCCATGGCCAAAGAAGAGGAAGAAGAAGAAGAAAGAAAATTTAAAATATTTAAAATTTTATTAATAAAAAGAAATTTTGTGTAATTACCAAACGCATTTCTATTCTTTTTCTATTTCAAGAATACAAATTTTGAGCGGTTACTAAATACCTTCAAATGCATAGAAATTGTTTACGATCACGGAATCAAAAAGAATCATTTCTGAATAAAAATTATTTTCGATAATAAAATGATTGCCAAACGCACCCTAAGTTCTTTTTTCATAATCGGCAGTATGAGTTGGACCTAGTTTTCGTGAAGAACTCGCACGAATCTGTACACGAGTATTTGAAGAGGCCAGAATATGTGGAATTGATGCGGACGCTTGGAGCCTTGGGATGGGAGATGGTAATCAAGACCAAAGTAAGTTTTCCTTTTTTGTCTGATGAAATGCCCATTTGGGGTGACTGCAGTTTGGCTGTGGCTGTACTTTTTTGCTTTCATTGTAGCTTGTAGTTTTTGTTGATCGGGATTAAGCTCTTTTTCATAATTAACTATCTCGAATCTTTGAACATTTTGCTAGTGAAGGTCATTTAATTTCGTTCCTTTTAAAATTAAAATACTTCTAAACTAAAAGCCATGAGCGGTAAGTAGGAAGCTCTTTCTTTTTTCGACTTCTTGCATGCACTACAAACCTTTTCCGCCACATATTCTCTCTGTGCTGTAAATTCCATGCGCATTTTATCAGAAAAGAATCTGCTTGTACCGATCAGTTTTTGCATGGTTTAGTTTTTCTTGTTTTCATAATGGATAACTGCAATTTCTAGTTTGGAACTATCTAATATCTTTTCGCTCCTGCTCAGGCACGCTATCGCCAGATGAGTGGGAAGTAGCCTATCTATACTCGTCATTTGTGTTGAGGAAGGTGAAAACATCTTTCTTTTTCTTTCCCCTTCTTCTGTTATTGCCATTTTTAGCCTTCGATTGAAGAGTATGTGTTGCTGTTGTCTTTGCAGAGAGGCCAACCAGAGAGATCGCAGGTAAATGGCGGAAGAGACAAAGGGAAGATGCATCTAGAAAAAGAAGATATCCTGTAGATTAATAACGACCTGTAGACTGACCGTGCCTTTCTTGTCCACAAGGCCCGATGCAATAACCCAGCAAAGCAGAGCATGAAGCAGCAAATTTTTTACCATATTCAAAAAGGCTGTACTTCGTCCTGTTTGCTCCAATATTGCAAGCTTCAAAAGGTTACTTCAAATTGTGCAGCTCCTTGAGAATAGGTTACCATAGCAAAACCAGGATCTTGTATTATGACACTACGGTGATTTTTGCAATGGACTCGCTCAATTGCTTTATTCTTTGTAAAAACCATGTACTATGATACTACGGTAATTTTTGCAAGGCCGAGCGCTCCGCATAGTCCGCCGGTCTTTCTTCGCACCTATGTCTCGGTAGATGTCGAATTGCAGGATACCCCATCATGGTATAGATTGTTGTTACCAGAAGGTAAAGAACATGAGAAAACCCAATCAGATGCCATGCATAGTATTTTCTTGCCAACTTGAGGAACCTACTAGCCTTAGGAAAGTGAATTCGTTGACTTGAATGAAGAGGAGAGACTCTCCACATGTAGTTCTTAGAACCTGTTACTGAACCGGACTAGCTTCTAGAGGCCCGCAGTCAATAAAAGTATACCATCGTATACTCCGTACAGGAGGAACCATGAGCGCAATGCAAACTGTACATTCTTATTTAGTGTGTTCCCCATAGAACATCCATCTTTTCATCATCGTCCCACAAGACAAAACATTTTTCCTGACTATATAATCAATCGCAAACTAGAGCTTTTGCAACTACGACAAATTTCATGAGTTTAGCCTCGCCTTATAAGGACTACGATAATAGCCATCAGAGCCAACCCCATGACAGACGCTCCAGGAGCCGGTCCAGCATTTCCCTCGTTGTTCGTAGACGAGTTCTTCGCAGGTGGGGGACTGAAGATGTTAGCAAGGAAGCTGGATACGTTGCTAACCATCTCCTCCACTGTAAGCTTAATGTTCTGCAAGATGGTCATGAGCTCATTTTCGTGGCCACCTTCAGAAATCTCTTCAACATTCCTTGACGATATCTCATCATCAGAAATAGCATCATCAGCAGATTCCTCCACTCGTGGCTCCATATATGGGAACTGAATACCTGCTTACAGTACCAGGAAAATATTTCGAGGCAATAATTTAACCATGAGAGATCCATTCCCACATAAGAGGCGGAGGATATGTAAAAGCTGGATCATAGTGCAAAAGAGGGTTAGGGATATCCTTACTGGAGTTCTGTGATTGGAGGAAGTCATTGAGAGCCCCGTTTTGCATAAACGCATTCCAGACGTTAGGATCACTAGCAATTGAAGCAACAACACCCTGGGAGACAAAAGGAAAGAAAAGGAACTCAAGTGATCGCTAGTGAAATGACATCACACCAATGCTGCTTTAGTTTATCAGATAGCTATATTACATTTAACTTATACAAACGATCCTACGCTTCCGTTCTTGGGGAGGGTAAGTACCTGAGCAGCAGGACATTGACTCAGCAGTGTTAAAGCCTGGACAGCATATATGGGTTCTGGATAAGTTGCCAGAGCCTCACCGGTAACTGAAGATTGGATCTCGACAGAATTTGAGAGCAGGGGCAGACCTGAGGCCTGGTCTGCTGGAAGTTGATCATCATACCCAGTGGTGTTTGTGGATGACAAATATACCCTAAATAACCAAAAGCATAAGATCCGAGCGAGAAATGAAGATGGCACACAAATACCATTCCATCAAAATAGTCCAACGGGAGGAGGAGAGAGAAAGACGAAGCAGAAGATGATTTTAGAGAAAAGCTAAAAAAAGAAAAAAGGCAACCCCCATCAGAAGCCACTCTTTTCCTTCCCCAGCAAATGAAACTTGTCTTCAGCCCAGAAACAATCATCAATGTGTCGACAACCCAAAGATCATAATCAAGTCCAGAAAGACACGATCAATAAAACTATAGATGCAAATGTATACAACTATCTTTTTATGGGGAAAAATCAATGTCATACCAATCGAGCAGTGAAAGTATATCCATCAAAACAAAGTGAAAACTTTTTGAAATTTTACTGAAAAGCGGAGCATCGTTTTACTCATCATCCATGAATCTCTCTCCTAAAGAGCCTAAAGCACTTGAAAGAAATGGAAGTTGCAAATTTAGGGCAAGAGTCGCCCAGAATATCAAATATGCACCCGCTCCAAAACAGAATGATAAACTCAATGTACAATGAGTAGGTGGATCAACTCAAACAAACCCTGCATTTCACGGTTGTCAAGAATGACATACGACGGACTGAAAATGCACGAACAATAATACATTCCAAGAAAAGTTTCCGTCTAACCTCCATAAACTATACTTAATAGAAAAACGAAAGACGAACGTTCTAAGGAAAACAGAACAATAATCCCACAAAATTCATTTGCCATTTGACTGAATCTGACTCTCCACAAGGAAAATGACGATTTGCAAATGATAATCGAACTAGGAGTTCAAGCACTTCAGATACCATTAGGAGTAAGCTAGCCAATAGACTTGCAGAATCAGCGGCAATGTATACAGTGCAGCATGATGATGAACAATAAGCAGCAGGATCTTGCATTGTGGTGATATTTAAGATACAAAGTCTTGATGGGAAAACAATGGACTCGCTCAATTGCTTTGTTCTTTGTACAAACCATCTACTATGATACTACACTGACTTTTGCAAGGCTGAGCACTCCGCGGTCTTTCTTTGCGCATATGTTTTGGTAGATGACGAATTGCAGGATACCCCAGCATGGTATAGATTGTTGCTACCAGAAGGGAAAGAACATGAGAAAACCCCACAATACTGAAATTATAGTTTCTCAAGTTAACGAACCAACTTTCCTAAGGATAGTATGCTCCTCAAGTTGGCAAGAAAATACCATGCACGACATATGATGAAATGAAGAGGAGAGAGACCCTCCACATGTAGTTCTTAGAACCTATTACTGAACCGGACTAACTTATACAGGCCTGCAGTCAATAAAAGTATACCTTCATATACTCGGTCCAGGAACCATGAGTCCAATGCAAACTGTACATTCTTATTTAGTGTGTTCAACATAGAACATCGATCTTTCATCATCGTCCCATAAGACAAAACATATTTCCCTGACTATATATAGCGCAAACTAGAGCTTTTGTAACTTCGACAAATTCATGAGTTTAGCAGCGCCTTATAAGGACTACGATAATAGCCATCAGAGCCAACCCCATGACAGATGCTCCAAGAGCTTTCTCATTGAAGGGTCCAGCACTTCCCTCGTTGTTCGTAGACGTCTTCTCCGCAGATGGGGGACTGAAGATGTTAGCAAGGAAGCTGGATATGTTGCTAACCATCTCCTCCACCGTAAGCTTGATGTTCTGCAAGATGGTCATGAACCCATTTTCATGGCCACCTTCAGAAATCTCTTCAACCTTCTTTGGAGATTTCCAATCATCAGAAAGATCGTCGTCAGCAGATTCCTCCACTTTTGGCTCCATAAATGGGAACTGATGAACTGCTTACAGCAACAGAAAATATTTCAAGGCAATAATTTAAACGTGAGAGCTTCATTCCCACATGAGAGGCAGGGGATATGTAAAAGACGGATCATAGTGCAAAAGAGAGGTTAGGTATATCCTTACTGGAGTTTTGTGATTGGAGGAAGTCCTTGAGAGCCTCATTTTGCATAAACGCATCCCAGACTTTAGGATCACTAGCAATTGAAGCAACAACGCTCTGGGAGGTAAAAGGAAAGAAAAGCAACTCAAGTGATTGCTAGTGAAATGACATCACACCAATGCTGGTTTTGTTATCAGATAGCTACATTCCATATTAATTATACAAACGATCTTACGCTTTTGTTCTTGGGGAGGGTAAGTACCTGAGTAGCAGGACTTTGACTCAGCAGTGTAAAAGCCTGGACAGCATGTTTGGGTACTGGATTAGTTACCAGAGCCTCAACGGTAACTGAAGATTGGGTCTGGACAGAATTTGAGAGCTCTGCTGGAAGTTGATCTTCACACCCAGTGGTGTTTGTGGTTGACAAATATACCCTGGATTACCAAAAGCATAAGATCCAAGGGGAGAATGAAGATGGCACACAAAGACCATTCCCTCGAAATAGTCCAACAGGAGGGGGAGAGAGAAAGAAGAAGCAGAAGATTTTGGAGAAAAGCGCAAATAAAATAAAGCGTCCCCCATCAGAAGCCACTCTTTTCCTTCCCCAGACAAATGAAGCTTGTCTTCAGCCCACAAACCTCCATCAATGTGTCGACAACCCAAATATCATAATCAAGTCTAAAAAGGCAAAATCAATAAAACTACAGATGCAAATGTATACAACTATCTTTTTACAGGTAGAAAACTAATGTCATACCAATCGATTGAGGAAAGTATATCCATCAAAACGAAGTGAAAATTTTTTTAAATTTTCCTGAAAAACGGAGTATCGTTTTACTCATCATCCATGAATCTCTCTCTCCTAAAGAACCTCAACCACTTGAAAGAAATGGAAGTTGCAAATTTAGGGCAAGAGTCGCCCAGAATATCAAATATGCACCCGCTCGAAAACAGAATGATAAACTCACCATACGATGAGTAGGTGGAACAGCTAAAACAAACCGTGCATTTCACGGTTTTCAAGAATGACATACGATGGACTGAAAATTCACAAACAATAATATATTCCATGAATAGTTTTTCATCTAACGTCTATAGACAATGCTAAATAGAAAAAATAAAGACAAATGTTGTGAGGAATACAGAACAATATACCCATAAAAATTCATTTGCCATTTAACTGAATCTGACTCTCCACAAGGAAAATGACAATTTGCAAATGATAATCCAACAAGGAGTTCAAGCACTTCAGATACCATTAGGAGTAAGCTAGCCAATAGACTTGCAGAATCGGCGGCAATGTATACGGTGCAGCATGATGATGAACAATAAGCAGCAGAGAGTTACGAATCAAGTCTGCACTTCATTCCCTCTACCAACTTGGTGATCACTCAAATATATGAAGAGACAATCTTTGACATTCAGAAGGATATACAGATCATCCTAGATCGCTAGACAATATGGTAACTACATAGCTCTCTTCTGTTTTTTCTCCCCTAATAAGCAACTAAGTTTTCTTACGCCGATCAAATATCAGCACTAAGATTTTCTTCACCCAAATCCGGACACAGAATGTCCATTCTCACAAAGCTATTCACAGCTATCAACTTCTATCGTCGAACCCAATCTCTGGATTAATTACTAAGCACAATTTTTTTTTTCTGAAGAAAGATCAAAACTTCCACACAAACTAACACTCATAGTGAGCTATTAGAACAGTATGTTATCCTTCACAGCAATTAATCAGACAGAACACGTACAATGAAACAGCACAAACGATGCAGAAACCCAAATCCCAATCCGCGGACACTTAAACGATGGGAGTACACACTAGCAACTTAGCATAGTAACAACAGTCAAGAGATACCAAACAAAATGCTGAAGAAATTTCAAACTTAAACCCAAACGTACCTGTCAATAGCATCCGTCAATTCAGCAGTCGCTGCCGTGGCCTCTTCATAGCTCGGCGCGCCTCCGAACACAACCCTGGCCATCGGCTGACCCACCGGTTCCTCATCGAACCCGGCGAAATCCCGATCGTCCACCTCCCGCGCCAGCATCTGTGCCGTCGCCTGGGGGACGTCGCCGGCGCCCCTCGCCAATACGATGGCGGGCACCCTGCCGGCGGAGCTGGAGGCGCTCCCGCTCCGGACGGACTGCGGCGGCGCGGGGGACGCGGGGGACCCGCGAAGCACGCCGACGATCCCGGCGATCTTCGACGCGGCGGACCTCATCGCTGCGCCGCCTACCATTGGGGGGTGGGGGTGGTGTGAGAAGAGAAGCGATGGAGATTCTGAAGGGAATTTTGGGTCGACACAGAGAGAATGAGAGAGGCTATTTATGGCGGGGACGGAAGAAGACCAAAATATTTGGTCCTGCACTCTCTCTCTCTCACTCTCACTTTACCCCCCTTCCTTCTTCCTTAAGCATAACTTTCGTCGATAAAGGCAATGTTCCGATAAAAAGAGTTCCTTGGGAACCATGAGTTTCAAATTTTCTTGATGTGTTTTTTCAATAATCTCTATCTATAGTATACTTTCGTTTTTGAGAGGTTCGTGTCACCGACAAGAAAAAGGACGAGATCTTTGGGAAAGTGGGTCATGGGGTGTCCGGGTACGGAGCCTGCCAGTGGGTTAACTCGCCTTAGTACATCAAGGAGGACTTGAAGATGTTGACGCGAGTTGGGGAGGACGATCGGTGGCTGAAGATGTTGAAATAGTTTGTTATCATAAAAGATGTGACTCTTGATAATGAAAAGAGGTGACTCTTCATCCTAAAAAAAGGTTATCGATGATTATGAAAGAAAGTTATTCTTAACATGAAGAGTGGTGATAATTGGGGATAAGGTGCATATTCTCAAGAGGTGTGTTGATTGGTTGTCTGTGAATAGAAACTAAATCGCACATTATTTAATATAGGGTTAATACCACAAAAAACTACAAACTGGTACAAATGTGATAATTTTACCCCAAATTAATTTTTTGACCACCAAAAATTCAAAACCGGTACCTTGTGACAAATTTACCCTCAGTTTGTTTCTGCTAAATTTTACTGTCAAATTGCTTTGTTAAATTATACACGGCAATTGACTGATGTGCCAGTTTTATGTTTTACCCTTTGTTTATCATAAGTGGATCAATTTGTGATTTTTTATGATATTAATCCAATTTAACGAAAACTAACAGAGGATAAAATTGTCACAAATGTACCAGTTTATGATTTTTAGTAGTCAAAATATTAATTTGGGGTAAAATTATCACAGAGGTACCAGTTTGGGGTTTTTATGGTAAAAAAATTAGTTTAGAATAAAATTATCACAGATGTACAAATTTTGGGTTTTTCGTGGTATTAACCATTTAATATAACCACAACTGTTCATAACTACAGCTTATTCAGAACTCTTTTTTTTTTTTCATACACACAACTTTAACAACACATTTACTGTGAAATTCCAAAAGAGAAATTGAGTTATTACTGAACTCGTTTCTCTACTGCTTTGGTATATATCCTGGAGGTATATTTGTTCTAAACCTGGCAGCAACAATAGTGGGTACAAATAATACATTATTGCGCATCAAAGCATCAAGGACCTATTACTATTTTACTATTTTCATCAGCAATCAAATTTCCTCAACATTCTTAAGGTATTATTGTCATGGAGGTGGAGACATCGGCTACATCAAGTGCTCGCAATATTGATAGATTGCGAATCGATCCTTATGATGGAACCAATTTCATCCATTGGAAGGACAATATGATCATTCTTTTATTTGAATTATGTATCTTCTACATCTTGGATCCCAACTTGCCCACTATCCCTAATCCAAAGGATGATGATTCTAATGAAATCAAAGCATCAAAGATCTATTACTATTTTTCAATCATCATCAGTAATCAAATTTCCCCAACAGAAGGAGGAGGAGGGAGGGGAGTAGAAGCTGGAGCTTATGGACGAGGTGAAGGCCGACGTGGTGGCGGAGAGTGAGGACTCCGGCGCTGCCGGGGGGGAGTAGTCCCGGCCCAACAGAGGGAGGGATTGCAGCACGGGCCCGCTGGATCTAATCCTGGACGAGGTCGCCATTGTTGCGCTCGAGAGAGGAAGCTTGAGGCTAGAGAGAGAGAGAGACACTTCATATGTGCAGAGTTTGTGAAAAAGTTTCATCTTTTAAAGAGTTTTTTATGCTAATAAACAGGTCTTGGAGCAACTTGCTGCCATGGGCGACGAAGATTGAGATAATCTTGGGCCGAATACTCTTGATACGGACAGAGAGGATGGGGACACTTTTTGTGAGTCTCAAATCCCCCTCGCTCTACCGGAGACGATGTTGGAAGTAGATGTCGTTGCTCCTCTTAGCGGGCGAGTTGGCACACTAGCTTCACGCTCTTCCGCTTGAATGACTTGGTGGCCGTTCACGATTAAGATCAAAAGAACCCAAACCGAAAGAGTCGGTGTGCGAGGCCACACGGAAATTTCATCAAACAGACGACGTGCTTCTTTTGGTTTTGTGCCTTTCACCATTTGAAGTGGGCGAGCTTTAGTTTCACGTAGTGTGCGTTGCGTGTTGATTGGCGGTCGACATGTCGGCTTTGCCCGTCTGCTCGGCTACTCCTAACTGTTCTTTGCACCGCCGGATCCTTCATTAATTCATCTTCAACGGTGGCGTCGTTTTAGGGCTGATTTGCCATGTCATCTGATCATTTCTTCACTTTGGACTGAACTCTCTTTGGAAAAAGCCACAAGATTTATCGTCCAAAATATGACGTCGGAATCACTCACCTGAATGTTTTTTAAAAGTTACCTCACTTAAGTGATTGACTAAAAAGTTACGGCGGCACCAAAGTCAATGCAGCCCAAACAACATCCCATTTCCAAAGAATAGATTTATATCAAATAAGATTTAACAAATAATTTGTAGTAAAAACATATAATATAACTTCACACAAATAAAAAATTCATGTCCGTGCAACATACGGCATGGTACTAGAAACCGAAGCAGCCTTTGTAATTTCATGATCGGACCAAACTCTCGATTGAAATTCAGAATCCCCTTGTATAATTCTCAATGATTTTTTTTTCAATGCTATTACCAAGTTCCAACTTAGACCGTGATAATTAGAAGCTGACAGGAGAACGTGACACTTCGCAAGCCTGCAAGCACCAAAGGACAAACCAACGTAGCTTTTCCGTCTGCGTCTCTGTTTCTTGGGAAGTGGAGAGAATTCAGGCCAAAACCCAGAAAAATAAGTCCGCGGGAAAAAAAAACTGTGTTCGGGACTTCGGGAGTTAATGATAATCATTTTGTTCCGAATATCAATTTTTAGTATCTATTTCTATTTTCTGAACAAGTTTTTAAGTCAAAATACGCGTTTAATGACGACACAAGATTTATGTTTCCGGAATAAAAATTCGTTTGATAACGACACAAAATTTCTTTCTATTTCTTTCTCCCGAGCGGCCGACAGCGGATGGTAGCAGGAGGCTGCCAGCGGATGGATAGCCAGCTAATAGGGAGGGCGAACGATGAGAAGAATTTTAATTTCTCATTTCTATTCCAAAAATAGAAAAGTAGAAAATTTTTACTTCTCATTTTTATTCCAAACTTATTTATGAAATCAAAAATGAAATTGCGTTACCAAACATATTTTTATTTCAAATTTATTGTCGAGAACAAAAAAATAAAAAAATAAAAAAATATAATAATTATCATACGACCGTTCGATTCCAAGAAGAAAAACCAAGACATGAAAAATTCATTGTTCTGCCCGTGAACGTGTACAGACATCATCCTTAAAAGCGTCTGATTCCCCAACTGTAAGTACAGTGTTTCTAAGGAACACTCTCAGAGTCTCAGGAATGATAAATACCACAAAAAAATTTAACCTGACATTCTTTTTTAATTTGCCGAGTCTCAAGCGTCGATTTTGGACTTTAAAAAATAAAGAGTTAATACCACGAAGAAATTCAAACCGGTACACTTTCGATAAATTTACTTCAAACTAATTTTTTAATCACAAAAAACCTTAAACCGGTACTAGGTATTAAGCCTTTAAAAAATAAAGAACTTCTCCTTTTTCCTCCATTTTCTTTGCCACCAAATTCAAAACCCCACAATATCATACTATCTAATCTTTACAAAAAGGGATTATTGGAATTCTCCATTCTTATTGGGGTCCCCCCCACACCCCACAAGAACGCTTGATTTTCATAGGAACGCACAATCAGCATGATTACCGCTTCGTAATTCGGGATCAATTGAAAATCATTGACTATTTTGTTCATACTAAATTCGATTGGGGAAAAAGAAAAATGCCCATTATTCTCGAAGACGCTAATGATCAAAGGATAAGCCGAAAGCGGGTCGATCAAGCTGGCCCCGCCTTTTGTCTTTCCCAATGTCTCGTTCCTTGCCCGCAATATTCGAATCCGAGTACATCCAATGTGGGGATTGCCGCGGGACCAAATCAAAGTCCAAAACAGTCTAGGACTCCTTTTTAAAAATCACCGATCTTCGATTCTCGAATCACCTAAGCAGCGATAAACATTTACGTGCCACATCCCTCGAAGAGATCGAGCTCGAGTCGAATCGGAGCCCGCGAATAAGTACTCGTCTCCGAGGAAAGCCCGCCTTTTCTTTTGTGTGCTCTTTTGACTTTGTCTAAAGAGCAATTCATCTTTTACACTATTTGCCCTAAGGAGCGTGGTGGATCCAAGGAAATTTTCGGCCCCCGCTATAGTCCAACCTAGACCTAGCCAAAATGGCAAAACAAAATCAAAGGCCCACCACCGTGCTGCTGCCATAGCATAAAGGAGAGTACCCATGATAGTGCCAAGCCATGATCATTAAAGATGAAAACAACAACAGAGGCAAGCGCACGAAAGGGAGAGTACGAACCCCCACCACCACTCCCCCAGTGCCCCCGTGGGCCAATCTCTCTCCCCCACAAAGAAGCGAGGGAGGGAGAGGGGCCCACACGAGCCCCGTTTTTGGCCCACATTTCCCGCGTTCACATAAAGTGCCACCCCCTTACGGCGGAGTGACCAGGAAGATGCTGCTAGTCAATGTCCGAAGAACATTATAATAAAAAATGAAATGAAATTCAATCATAGTAAAGGGGGTCTGCTCGGCAGCACGAAATTAGGGTTTGCCCCGTGAAGTGAGGCCCTCCTTTTCCTCATTTCCACGTTGAAATCCCACGTCGAGAACAAAAGGAGAAGCTGAAAATAATTAGGAATTGAAATGGTGCAAAACGCGAGAGAGATGAGGCTGTGGGGAGATGCTTTGCTTTGGTTCTTGCTAATCTCTTCCTTCACAAACGGGATTTTAAGGCAAGGGACATTGAACCCAAAACAGAACGAAGCAAAGCCAAGCCAAAAACAAAAAAAACAAAAAAATTAGAACGAAAGGCTCTCGAAGTCTCTTCAACTCTAAATTTGGATTCCAAATTCACATCTTTAATTACAACCCCCTATACCCAAAGCTACCGGCGCCTAAGATCTAATGACATTTACTCACATATTATATAATATTTAATGTTATAGTTGCTATGATAAGGGAAGTTCTTCATTATTAGACAAGGAGAAGGAGGAGACAAAAGTTGGAACAAGCTTTGGACATTCTCTATCTCCGAGCAGCCCCGAACCCTTTCTCCTTCCTCACATGACTCATCAGCACACCTGCACAAAAGTGAAAAAAAAAACCGTCCAATAAGACCGTCGCGGACCATGACCGAGCAGGTCGAAAGAATCCGCAACGCACGTCCACACCCTTCACGAGCTCCATTCCTTGAGAAAAATTTAAAACTGTAAAGGAAAACTTCGTGTTGATGTGCTGTAGGTACACTGAAACTGCTGAAAATGTGGTGCCACCAAAGCAGTGGTTTCCTCAAGGGAAGTGGCTCGAAATGGTTTCGTCTTGGAAAGACATGGGAGACAGATCGTAGCCCACAAACGGGACCCAAAAAGAAACAGAGCACAGAACAGAGCAGAACATGATATACTCGAGGCATGCGAGAAAAGTAAAAAAAAAACGAAAGAAATTCAAGAACTGAGGAGGGGGGTCGTGATCTTTTACCTTGCTGGGGCTTACAATCGGGCGGATCTTCGAAGAGCGAGAGGGAGAGCTGCTTGTGAGCGACCCCAATGTCGAAGAGGATGAGGCCGGAGCCGGGATCGTCGACGATGATGTCCTTTACGGGGAGCCACAGGAAGAGCTCCTCCTGGGACAGCCCCACCACCCCGATGAGGCTGCCGTAGGTGAGGTTGGCCTTGACGACGCTGTCGAAGAAGACCCGGTTCTCGAACTTGGCCAGGCAGGGCCCGTCGAGGAACACCTCCAGCCGGCCGTCGCCGGAGAGGGTGTAGGACCTGATCTCACGGGGGAGGAGGCCGGCCGGCAGGCCCCGGGAGCGGAGGAGGTCGTGGATGGAGGAGGACTGAGACGCGGCCGGCGGGGAGAGGGAGGAGAGGACGAGGCATGCGGAGAGGGAGAGGAGTGTGAATTGGGGGCGGTTCAAGAAACGCATGGCCATGAGAGAGATCGGAGAGGTAAGAGGGAGAGGTTGGAGGGTGCAAACTGCAAAGTGATATTTGGACAAAGGCTGTGTAAGAGAGGGAGGAGGAGGAAGAGAAAAGCTGGTTTGGGGGTGAAGTGACGGTTTTGCCCCTGGTTGGTGGTTTTGGGTTTGGAGGTGGACCAAGATTATGGGGGGTTTGATTAGGGTTTCAATGATGATGTGTTTTGGATCGCCTCAATGGCCCTTCGATTAGATGGGGATTGGGATGTTTTGCTTGTTGGGTGGTGGTATTATGGATTCTCTTGTTTTGTGGCTCGTGTCATGATTCGAGGTATTGGCATGGAGTCCCCATCGCGGGGGGTGCATTGCCCATCGCAAATGCCCCCTTGAGCAATCATGGAGTGCTAGCAACATGAGCCACGCTCCAATAGGAGAACAGGACCCAAAAGAAAAAGAGAGAGAGAAAGAGATCATGGTAAATCTTGTAATGCTAGCGGATTCATCGATGTACAATGAATAGTTCGGTTTTCGATAGTGTTTAAAATTATATGAGCTCTCGACAAGCATGGTACATCCATTTCCTTGTTTTCTCATGAATAAAAATCAAGTTTATCGGGTGAATTTAATCCGCGATGGACAGGAAAATCCTCCGTACCTTGTTCAGGTGGGAGAGTTGGCGATTAATTACGCCGATCTTCATCTATCGTTTCGTTACCCACGGGAGGAAGTTTGCGGGACCGCACCGACGTGGGGAATGTAGTAAATAATTGCTTTGCAACCGGGTCGGCCATGCCGATGGAGCCGGGAAAGAAAGAGAGAAACATTATAATGGGACCAAAACAAAAGATTTGCGGTTAAAAATATTCCATAGGGGGGTCCCTCCTGTTTGATATAATGTCCTAAGCTCCGGGACATTAATGGGCTTTGATTAGGAAGAGGACGAAGGCAGGGCTGCTGCTCGTCCGTCGCTTTTCGGTTCCCACAAAGCAAAGTCGTCCCCCTTCCCCTCCCGCTCCCCCACCCCTTTGCCTCTCCTTTTTCAAAAAATGATTTCCGGCGGAGGTGGGCACGCCCGCGTTCATGGCGGTCCAAACCCGCCTTCGTTCAAGGGCACGTCATGGTCGACCATTAGCAACGGTGCCCGCACGAGAATGGCCCCCTCGTGCCTCGGCCCGGTCTGAATCGGGTCGTGCATTTGAACGGCTGGAATTTGCGGGGGTCCGAAGGGACACGGAGAAAAACCGGGAAGGCTGTCGTAACTGTAGGTCGAGGGGTAAATGAGGGATTTCGCAGCGTCCGTCGTTTTGGTTTTTTGAGCTGCGACTTTGCGAGGAGGGACGTTCGGCACGGGAGGGGAGAAGCGACAGGAATCGTGTCCGTCGACGACTTCCGACGGTGATTCTTTGGAAAAACAGGGAGCGGGAAAGGTCAGTGACGGACCAGCAGCTGTGGGGGTAGGAAACCGTGGTGGTTTTTTCCGGTTACGGGGAGGGAAAAAAAATAAAAAATAAAATAAATCCCGAACGGACTAGTAAAACTTTAGGTTGCATGGCCCGTCCGGTCTCCCAGCGTAACTTCGATTTTTAATGTCGTCTCGTGCGAAGTTTGCATGATGTGACGATTCGAGTGGCGATTTTCTGATATGGGATTTGACGGGTCTAGAATTGATAGGCGAGTAAGGTAAAAGTGGAAGCGGGTTGATTCTCTTTTTCTGTTTTCTTTTTGTGGGTAATTGATTGAATCGGAGATTCAGTGAGATTAGAATGGAAATGAGACGTAGGTCGACGTTGGTTAGTCGGTTCATGAGAAGTAACTAATTTTCAATCCCGAAGACAACACAAAAGGCCGCATGTTTAGAGTCTTCTATTTGCTGGCCAATGTATATTGTAGATTCGAGAGCGATTTTATAGATTTTTTTTTTCCTCGACTTCTATGACAAAAGAACTAGAAAGGTTAATCGACTCGTAAATCACATTTAACCCGCTCGGTTTAGTAATCAGATCTAAAATGGAGAAAAAAGATCTGGAGCAAGAGCGATTATATATCACGGCCAAAAGATAAAAAATTAAAATTAAAATTCAAAAGCTACGCCAACAAAGAACACAACAGCAATCAACTCGACCATGAAATGAGGATGAGCAACATTGTGTCCTATCTGTCGTTTAAAATCAAACTTAATCGACCGTTTGGAAATCGCAATCATACGTGTAATGCACATAAAGAAATCAATCGGATTATGAGAAACGGCGAAATTCTTTCGTCGAATGATTTTTTTATTAACGTGGCCAAAAGAAAAAAAATAAATCTCATTGCATTTTCCTGCCGAATAATGGTCATTAAGATGATTAAATTACAGGAAAAAGAAAAAAAAAATGATGCCGAGATTAAAAGCAGGAGGCGAGGAAATTACCCCGAGAAAACAAAAAAAAATAAAATCCTTGGACCGTACGGACGATAAAAAAAAGGACATGGAATAGATTTTATTCTCATGTTTGCCACTCGGAAAGATTCACGGGCACCTGTGCAGGGAAGTGACGTTGACCCGAGTTTCCAAAGACAGCCCCGTGCATTCACCGTTAGATTCGATGGGGCCGACCGAGGATCTCCCCCCGCCCCCGCTCATCCGACGGCGCGCGAGAGGTGCGCTCGCGTGTACCCGGAGCAGGCAAGTTTTTCTTATTACCAAATTGACGGCTCTAGCATGCTTGGCCAGAGTTTTACCTTGCCACCGGATTTTCCGGTGATCCGCCAAAAAAAAAATCGAAGCATGATGCTTGCCGAAAGCGATGGCCCGGGTTGGGCTCTGGAGCAGGTTGCCGGTCTCCTGCGGCCCACGGTGTGGGCCCATTGAGGAGCCACGCCCGACAAAAGTGCTCGACCCCCCTCCCCTTCATCACGATGGATGTGCACTGTTTAGCGATAATGAAACCTTTTTGGAAGAGTTGATCCTTTACAGCGGTGCGAGATACTTTTCCCTTTTTTGGAAATTGATTTTGAATTTTCATTTAATTCGACTTAGGGGCGAGCATAGCTCCCGGATAGAACCTTGAACTGGGCCGAACTGGCCATGGGAACCCATCCGGTTCTCGGTTCCGTGTTTTTTTGGGACATGCATTATGCGGTTCGGTTCCCGGGTTCCAAACCAGATTGAGAACTAATAACTGGATTGGGAATCAAGGTAATCTTGAAATAGAGCATAACACATAGAGTATCGCATGACGCTTGAGTGAACAAAAAGAAAATTCCTTCCTCCGAGAGCATGGCACTTAGGTTTTATGCTGCGTGTTCTCTTTTTATGGATCGTTATTATTGATAAATGGGGATTTTTGTTGTTGAGTTCATTTTCTTTTTGCTTGACTAAAAATGAAACAAAAGAAAAGGAAGAAAAAAGAAGAAAAAATTGGCCGATTCCCAGGTAGACCCTGGAACCAATTAACAAGGTAGGGTTTCTAGGTAAACCATGGAACCAATTGATATGGTAGCTTCCAGGTTTCAGGGTGTACATAATAGGTTCCAAAGTTGAAAAATTGCGGAATAGATCCCGACAAAATAGATTCCAAGTGGAATCTGGACCGACTCTAAAATCGCTTACCCCTTATGAAAACTTAAAGCATTGGCATTCTCGAGGAATTAATTTACTATCATTAAATATATGCGAGAGAATTCATACTAATTGAGATAAATATTACGATTGTATGACCATCATGATTTACAAAGGTAATATGTATGATTGAGAAATGTTGGAAGTCTTTGTTTGTCTATACGAGCGATACAAAGATCAACATGGATGGTTCGAACCTATTTATTCGTAACATTCACGTAATGTTTCCTCGTTCAGCATTTGCACAAAAGCAGCTGTCTCGATCTCCTCCACGAATTTTAGATGTCAAGAGCAACAAACATATGTTTATCGTCTCACGCCCGCTAAATTTGATATATGACCAAGACGCGATGAAATTGACGCGTATGTTTAAAATATTTCGCTTTTGGTAATAACATATTTGGATATCGTGAATTTGGATGATATACGACGAGAGATCGTTTCCATCTACTCCGCAAGTTAATCTCCTAATTACTCCTCTAATTTCAAGAGAGTCCACAAGTGATTGACCCTTTTGGCGCACAACAATTTCACCGCAGCTGATTGATATTGAATTGGCCAAATGCGAACAAAGCAAACGCACATGATACATGGCCGAGACAACAGTCCTCTTGGGCCTTTCATCTTCCCTTCAATTTCCCACACTGACTTTTTGAATCATCAAACGCTTCCAAAATCGTTCCCACGATAGTCATAAGGCGATCCACTGTCACAGAGCACGGTTCAAGAAAAGCAAAGACTGGTGGTGACCCAGTAGTCCCCCCATCAGCAATGGCTAAAGGCTGTTTCGCCATGGTCGCTCTTCCGCTTTTTCTTTCAGAAGCTTCTTCCGAGAGGTACCCAGTCTGGCGTTTTCCCCAGTGGATCTGTTTTTATTGCGTTTTTATAGATAAATCGGTTAAAGTTTGCGTTTTTTTTTTGCCCCTGTTTCACATCGTTTGTGGGTGAAAATGACCTCCAAAAAGTTCAAGACTTTAGCTGAGATTTTCCAGGAATGTTCATGATATATGATGCTGAATTGGAAGTAGCTATGGGGGTTATCTGCACCAATTTTGCAATTTTTTCTTCCATTGCTTTGTGCATCTTTTCGCTCATTTTCTGTGTGAGAGTAATATAGGCCCCTGTTTCTCCATGGGTGCTGTCAAACTCTTTCCTATGCATGTCCTCAGTAATTCTTGCTGGTCAATAAATCTCAAACTTGCTTAATGAGAGGGAGAGAAAGACAGGGAGGGCACAAGTTTATCTCTCTCTATATTCTTTGCCTTCCTTCCTTTTTTGTTCCCGTTTTTATTTTTCCCTTTCCTTTTCTGTTGATGAATGGTGCCTCCTTTGTTAGGCATTTCCTTGATTGTTTTCTTCACATGTCAAATTCCTTGTGCACAAACTCTTAGCCGAAACACGAACACACTGTCTATAGATGTTTCCGAGATTACAAGACAAATGGATGCCTGTATGGTTAGTTCCATAAAAGATCTGACACTGGGTCCAATTTGAGATAGAACCTAAGAATTTTCATCTATCTTTTCTTTTCTCTTGCTTTTTCTTCTAGGGCTTTCAGCTTTCTCTCTCACTCCAACTGAGCCCAGTTTCGATTTCTCTACTAGATGGGACGTCTTTATTTGAGGTGCAGGCGCCGCCATGGGCTGGATTTACGCTACTTGTGCTGTAATCCACCTGCATTCTGTTGGTATAGAAACCAGGAGCCCTTTCTCATCAATCGCGTGAAGCTGGATCCTCTTACTCTTTTGCACCCAAAGCAAAGAAGCCTGCTCACTTAGTGTTGTTGGTACGTGCTGCATTCTCGAATTTGCAATGTTATAGTTAATCACATCTTCAATGTTTGAATTGCATTGGCTACATGTGGGATTCTAAATGTGATCTGCTTTCATGCGATTCTGTTTTATCTGTACGTCATATTCGCTTCATGGATTCCATCTAGACTAGAACTGCTGATTCTCAATTGTTGTAATGGTGTTCATAATGTAGAAACACAAGGCACCGGTGTGGTGAAAATATGTTGCAGGGGCAGTAGAGTCGATGTTTGTGTGCTTTTTTAATAAGACGATTTGCTAGGTGTTCCGTCCCTGTGAAAATAAGACGATTGTATTGCTTGACAGAGTAGGTGCGCATATAGCATGTACATATCTCATGCTTGGCCAAACGTGGATGTTAAATACATGCCAGAAGTCAAGTTACCTCGAAATGAATTGGGTCTTTGATAGCTGGAGGTTTGGTTTACTCCTGATAATAGCTGAGGATATTCAATAGAGCTAACAAGCATAGATGGATAATAAGGCCATACATCATTACGTCACAATTGGACGTCATAATCACATGAGCACAGTCACCAATTATAAGTGACACAAAGCCGGATGTATTTATAAGTACTTAAAACAAGTTGGTACCGAACATAAGAGAACTGCCATATAAAACATATGCCTTCCTCAGTAGGACGATGTGAAAGGGAGAACTTACGGAGAGCATAGACATAACTACTGCACCAGAGAGTAGGACCCTTCATAACCAACATATTCGCTTGGGGGGCTTGAAAAAATCACCTCAGCTCGAGCCGATGCCCTCTGATACCTTAGCAGCTCACAAAATATTTGGTGGAATCGCCCATTTTGCCTCCAGAGTCCCATTGCTCCTCTATAATACTCCTCTGCGTCTTCATAGAAGATGGAAATTTCCTCCAAGTCTCTTGCATTTCTCAGCAGAAAACGGGCAGCCTTCATCTCATTCCTTCTTCCAGTGAACCCATTAACTGTAATTTTCTTGAGACTGTTTTCCAGACAAGGGAATGGCAAACATTCAGATTGAAAGTAGTGCTCTGGATCATAGTCTGGAATGTCTGGACCACCATTTCTGAAGAAATCACCCTAAAGAAAACAGTTCAATCACATGTTAGATGCTCCTGATAGATGAGCAGAAAACATCACAATATTCCCTTATAAGATTCTTTCTTCCGATACCATGTTATATGCCCTAACATTTCCGTGCAATGTTAGAGTAAGCTGTTTCAGATTCGGACAGCTCCTTAGAAGGCAGGCCACTCTGGGAAGATCATGCTTTACTAAGCACAGCACTAAAGTTACTTGCACCACCTCTCGAAGTTGGAACCTTGCTTGATCTGTCAGATTTTCATCTGCAGGCAGAGCCTGATCACCACAGACTGATATATGAGTATGAGTGAATTTGGCTCAAAATTTGCAAGTAAGTGGAATGGAGAAAAGCTACCTGAATGCACCACGATGTTAATGTCAGATTCCGGCAGTGGCATAATCCACTCAGCAATGAAGCAAGACCTACTTGTTCTTCACTGACAAGCAAATGTCTGATGTCTATCGTGACATCAACCAGATGCGTCGCTTTCCTAATAGAAGTCAATTTGACATAGACTCCATGTAACGCCAGTAGTACTAGGCGCGGAGTGGATATGTTAATCTCAAAGGTGGGGATCTCATTGGGCTTGCAGTTCGTCACATTAAGTCTTTTAATCATCAAGTCTTCATCACATACAAAAAATTGTTTGGGGATGACACAATTTTCCAGGCTCAGATCTTCTAGAACAGGAAATTTTGATGCCAGAACTCTAACTGAAGAATCAAGGATGACAACTTGCTTTAGAAATATCCTTCGAAGAGAAGGAAAAACTTTTAAAGCAGACGCTCTTATCTTGCAGCAGTTCATGTTCAAACTACTTAGTATCTTTGATACCAAACAGTTATGAGGCAATTCATATAATAAATTAAGGTCGACACCTATGCGAACAGGTCCCCTCTCATCGAAGTATTCCAACAGACCTGGATTAAAGAAGCTCAACTCCATATCTTTGATGTTGGATGCCCAAGCATATCTAACCCAGATGTCAATTCTTTTGGTCGATCCATCGTAGACATCATAAAGGAAAGTCAATTGGAATCTGTCCAGGGTGCAACCTGAGTGTAGTAGGAGAGTTCGGTCTACAACATCTGCAAACATCCTCCTTGCTACCTTAATCAAATGCTTTTGGCAACAAGTAGCAGAAGAAGTCCAAATGCCCTCACAGATGGTGCAGTAGAAATTGCTTCTCAGCAACTTAGCAATGATCTCTATTTCGTTAATATTTAGTCGAGAAATCTTTGTCCAAAGGTACTTCCATCTTTTGGATAGGGCGCTTATTTTAATGCAGTCTTTCAAAGGGAGGAATGAAAGGATATAGACTAGAATTGCGTCTGGCAGTCGGCTTATGTAGTCGGTGGCTCGATATGTATGTGCTCTTGTTCTTTGTCTGCTGATACTTCTGTCCATAATTTGTTGCTGTTGCTGCAAAACACACCAAACAAAACTACTCTTGGATGTCAGATCTGGAAGACGCTTGCCAAGACTGTCATATGATGATGGTTGGAGTAATCAATTAAATCTTTTCGAGTTTATAGATTTCTTGAAGGCTGTGAAGAGCTTTTCTTCCTTTTTTTCTCTCTCCTTTTTTCCCAAATTAAGAAGGAGCATTTCAGCTACCAATAGAGCATATGTTTGTTGGCTTGGTCTCTTTCAGATTTCTGTAAATGTTAAAGGTTATTTATTTGGAATAGAGTTTTAATGAATCGTATGACTCACATTTGATTACAATTTTCACGAGCCAGGACTGTAATAATAATCAACATATATATGTGTATCCGCCTCTATTGTTTGATATCTAAATAGAGTTTGTTTCTGGATCGGCCACTGACTAGACCCTAGTTCTGTGTTCCAATGTATGAGGTTGCAGTAGGAGATCTACGGGTTTGCAGAATGGCAGCCATCTTAATCAAATCGCCAATGGAATAATAAGAGATGTTTTAAAATATTTAAGAGGTTCGCTTGATATACTAAACATTTTAAGTTGGGCATGCAAAGAAGAAAGAACTATAGATACTTCAAAAAAAAAAACAAAAGAACGAACCCAATTAATTAGCGTTTCTTTGGTTTGGGGTGAAAAAAGTTTAACTTGAATTTTCTGTTGAGTTCAGGTTTGCCAACCAAAACCAATGAGAATGTCTTTTATTGCACGTTTTTTCTGTTTGCAAGAAAATTTTAGGAATTGTTATTGTATAGAAAGTGTACTTTGACATTGTCAACGTCTAGTCTTATGCAATTATTGTAGTTTTAAGCTAAAAGTGTTCTATTCCTTGTAAGAACGAAAACTATTGTGGCAGGCATAGCCGTCCACCGGACGATATCCTTAACTGGAGTCCTATCAAATAACTCTGTGGCTTTGTCAAGCTGACTGCATTTCACATACCCAGAAATTATGCTCGTCCAACAGATAACAATCTTAGTTGGCATCTCATCAAATATTTTGCAAGCTATGTCCAAATGGCCACATTTCGATTACATTTGAACCTGGAGACTGTTTTTAGGTGGGTCTCAAAGAATGCAGAGGTCTTGTTTCAAAGGATTATAAGGCCCAAATAATGTCTTCATTCTGTGCATGCCAAATCATGAAATTAATTATGATTTTTATGTTTTAGGTGGATATTTTACTTTGGTTTGAAAAATACTACTAAAGAAGAACCAAACTAAGTCAAATTGAACCATTGCATAACCCTACTTCTGAAAATTGGCTGCTTTGTGGGGATGAAGTAAATTAGTGCAAAGATACTTGTTGAACAATCACATAACTTCGTAGCTAGATTTTTCAACTGGGTGAGTTGCATGAGCAGAAAATGATTCCAAACATGACCACTAGATAGACTTGATCTTTTAAGGAGGATTCATGCATATAATCGTGAATTTGAGGATCAGATCTACCTGGGATTTCTTGGATGAACGAGCTAGAGGTCTGAAACTTGGATCCTGCAAAGGAGTCTTGCGAATACTATGAGGAACTAGACCTGGTTTAGGGAAAAAAATTTCTTTTTTTCCTAGAGATGAAAATGACATTTTTCTCCAAATATGAAAATCGAATTGAAGAGAACTTTAAATATAGCTTTGAGTTTCATTTCAAACCTTGAGATTCTTGCACCTCTCAATTGATCTGAGATTCATCTCTTAGAGTGATAGCCATAGATCTCTCTGAAACTTGTACTGTTTGGAAGGAAATGAGAGGATTGAGAAATAAAAAGGCAACAAAGCCGAGATAATAGTCTGTTTGGCTTTTGCATGGGCACAGATGGCCATGCATGTCGCGTTGTTGTGACACGTTTGCATGACATGCACGCTTCATGTGAAACGGCTTGGTCCACTGTCATTAATAGTCTACCCTCTTTAAACCCGGAGCATATTAAATGTCCATGAACAGCAAACACGCTTGTTGGGCTGCTTTGAACGGGTTATACCAACCTCTGACTTTAAGGTCTCCAGTGGTGATGAGTAGTTATGATCCAAATCAAATATTCTGCAGTGGGTATGGAACTCCTACGGTAATGTCTAAGGTGTAGTCAACATTGGTCGTCCCTCCCTACTTTTTTGACTTGCCAAAAAATGTAATATTCTCTTTTTTGTTGTGGTAAGTAGGCATCTATGGGTCGGTTTTGCACAACGGAGTAAATTACTGCTTTTGTCCAATCGAAGGCAGGCTGTCCATGAGTAGAGGAGGAGATTCGTGAAGCACTTCCTTATGTTTATTGGAATTGAACGAAGACCTCACTTTTTCGGGGAAAAACAGTGGAAGGGGTAAGTTTTCTGAATTTGATTAGTGATTTAAGTTATGCATATCCTATTTCTTGCATCTAGGTGATTACCACATTGAGATGTGTGAAATATGCGATAGGTGGACAGTACTACATTTTCTCGAGAGATGGGGATGGGAATTCTTGCTCATAATTGATGAATGTGGAATGCCACCATGCAAGAGAAGTCCTGTATTCAATTAGTGAGTTGTGATATGTAGTCAATTTGATCCTGTTATAAAAAGCATGAACGAAACGATACAGTTAAGATGCCTGTTGATTTTTTGGCTTCAACTGACTTGACTGAACTGGGATTTTTCCCTGCATAGTATCTGAAGAATTAAGATTTAATAAAAGAAACAAATGTAATTGACAGATGTCTACAAGTATTTTGTTAGGGATGGCAAAGCATATTTACTCATTTTTTGGGGACTTACATGTACGCATCAACCTGAATGCAACCTATTCATCATAACTCTGGGAGATGGATCCATATTCCTTACTATTAAAATGGACCGCTTGACACTATTTGAAGGCTTAGTCTGTAACTTACATTTTGCAATCACACAGCTCCAATGGGCAATTTTGCAAGAACGTCTGAATAATGAACTCTTTCATTTTCATTCCTGAATAGTATAAGTAAGCATTAATGATGTTATCTCGAATCCAACCAATCGTAAGAAGGTGATTGTTATTACTCTTTGACCAATTGGCTGACTTGGTATAAATATTAAGCGATGTTAGGAAACCTTAGAGGTAGCATATAAATGCCAAAATAGGTCAAAACTGAGTAGGTTTTTGACTCAACTCATGAGCATCCAACCTTGGTGGGCCAATCGTATGTTCCTTTCTTAGTGATTGACTGAACATCATTTGTAAATAATATGAAAGACTATCTTTAAACGTGTTGAGTACCATTTGTAGCTCTAATGAAAAGATGACCATTTGTTTTGATTTGCATTAGCATCGCTAAGAAACTGCTAATTAATATAGATGATCTTACTTTTATGGGATGTGAGGCAGTGCAATATCATGTGTATTGCATGCTTTCTGCAGAAGAAGCAGCGTACCATCTATCATACTGTTTCTTGCTTAGCCTTTGCTTGGTGTCTCAAGTGATCAAGATCGGATCCTTAAAACATTCAGGGGAAAGGATGTTGAAATCAAGATAAGATATTTTGACGAATGTGTGAAGATAAGTTTTCCGTGGATGAATTTTGCCATGTTGTGAATTGAAAGCATATTAAAGAACAAAAATGATCTATGATGCTCACGAATGGTAATAAATTTCCATCATTTGTGGTTTGAGGATACATTGAAGGTTGTGATGGAGGCTTAGGGAAACAACATAGTTAATGCTGGATTGAAGATTTCTTTCCTCTGTACATGACACTTACTGCAGCATACTTACCTTATTTGAACTAGAAGTCCATCTTTTAATGACCGTAGCTTGTTTGTCTTTTCTCCATGCTTCATAAGATTTTTCAACCAGTTCCATGTTATAAATCACCTCTGTCGCCCTTCTGACTGGCTGGAGGAATGCCTAATCAATTAGTTTGTTACTCTACTTTGCACCTTTGGTCCATTTTCTGAAGCAAGACCCTCTGTGAGTAATGAATGACTCTTTTCATCTGAGAAACTTCCAGGCTGTAAAATTTGCATATGTCAGTGTGCTCACTCTCCTTTATTCACTTAATGGATGCTGATTCACGATGCCTCATGCTAGTCCTGACATAAATATTCTTGGAATAAGCTGGCAAAGGAAAATCTTGCTTATTTGGGTAATAAGCCAGAGGCTGGGTTGAAATGAGAAACCCTCCAATTGGCATTTGGCTTCGATTATTCAACTATACAATACTATAATTTGAATGGGCAGATGGAGATATACAAATTTTCAGCGAAGATGCAGTGATGTGCATGTTCAAAAAAATTAAAAGGATAAGTGCTTGCGTATTGCTCTGTCACTAGGATATGCATTGCAAACATTGCCTTGGAGAAAATTTTCTCCACAAGCTCCTTTAATCGCTGTTGATGTGTTTGTGAAGTTGTGGGTAGCTACACCAACATCAGCTGTTGTGGAAACTGCTTCTGGAGAAAGTTTTCTCCGCTGGCATTGTTTCTAAGAACTGTCCCTATCAATCTCAATATTGCTTCAATTATCTATAGGAGAAAGCATCTATTAGACGACCTTGAGAGATTTTCCTGTTCTTTAGTTCAGTAGATTGAAATGACTCCAGATGGTTTTGATCTGTGCTCTTAATCTATGGCTAATGATCTCCGCTGTTGGCTGCAGTGAGTCAGCGACCGCTATAAACTGCGGCAAGCCTAGGACCTGCTATGTGTAATATCACTGGAATACTCCGTGGAATTGATTTTCTTTCTCAATAGTAGTTTCTCCAATTCATCTTCTACCATATCTTCTGGATCATTTTCACACCTGCTGCATAGTGACCTTCCCAAGTCATCGCCACCATTTTGGAGTATCTTGTCTGTTAGAATTCATGTGATTAATGAGAAGCCACGAGACATGGACTCTTTGCCTCCTTTGTATATCACTGAGTTTGTTAGGTCTGTAGTAAGATCGGCTGCTGTCGTGCATACCGTGGCCTCTGGCAAGTGTTGTTGATATCTCAGAGCTAATAAAAAGATGTCACGTATGCCTTCTCCTATCATAATACATCCCCTTGGTCATGGCATTTTTGGTTTATGTACTTACCAGGGTCTGAAGTATTAGGCTTGCAGATAGTATCATATCACCTGTTCCCGTTATGAACCGATGTTTTGATGTCAAACAGGTCATGACGTGACGAAATGGCGACTGTGGAAAAAGTTTCCTTGTGTCTTTTTTTCTCACCCGTTGCAAAATCGTCTCGTGTACTTTGTCTCTTATTCCAAAGATATTTTTACCTATACAAACATAATGATTCGTGACATTGCTGGTGAAATGTCTGGTTTCTATGTCGCAATGATGTCAACTTGCACATTGCAGTCGGCCGCCTAGTGCATTAAAACCATGAATTGTAGTCTGTGATCATGGCTTATCTTTTGGAGTCTGATCAAATCCCGAGCAGACGTAGTGTGAATGCCTTAAATCTCATTCCCATTAGACAATCAACAAGTGACCCAACGCTCATACTTGCGAACCGAAGTGCGAGTCATCCGGCAGAAGCCTGTACATAGTGGTCAGATCTGATGCCAAAAGTACAATATTTGGAATGCCCTAACAAAATATTGGGCTTAACCGAGGTTGGACAGCAGATGTTCCAAATGATCTGCCCTGCACTGGGCATGGCCCCAGATTTGATTGCATGTTTGGCAAACTTATGTTGACAAATACCTGCATAAGGGATGGGGCTGAGAGGGCCAGGTTGCATGAGGGCCTAAAAGCGATTGCCCATGACCAAAATGCACTAAATTTTCTTTGTAAAATGGAACGGGCTCGAGTGCCCGGCGCCCAAGAAGGAGATAGCTTGCCTAGATTCAAATATGTGCACTTCGGTGGGTGATTCTCACCCGCCAAATTAAGAATAATAATAATATTCCCGAAAGCAAACGATGCACCAACCATCTATACAAAATAAGTTGATTAGCCATCACTTTCGAAGCCATACTTCAACATCATGAGAAAAGAAGCAATAGAAAAACTTTCACTAGCAGTTCACTTCCTAAGTGTAATGTTGCCCCATATGTCACAATCAAGTAAAGGAATCTGTGGCCTCGCCGTGTTCTTTGCACCCGCCCAAAACGTCAACGCAAAGTGCAGGCCCATAAGATGAGCGTGGAATCTTAAATGCTGAAAATCAGGAGTGGGTATTGGTCGTTGTTTGCCGACATATTCTACTGCACGCCCTTTTCTTCTTCTGGGTTCTTCTCTATCGTCGGAATCGGCATATTTTCGGTTTCTGCCTTGCGGGCTCGGGAACGTAACCTCTTGCGTGACGCGGGCGGCTTGCGTTTAATTAATCGAAAACTTGGTATTTCAGCAATGTCAGTTGTTTGGAAGACATCGACACATGCTCCCTCAACGGCTACGATAAATTATAAAGAAACCAAGAACCGTTGACAAATTATATGCCCCACTCGGCTCCCTTCCATTCAGCGTTGCATCACTCGCAGCATCATCATCAGGTGGCTTTCAGCATAGCAGCAGCAGCAGCAGCCTCTCCTCATGATAATATTAACTTGGAGAGGACGGAGGGGAGGGCGGAGGAGAAGAAGATTAAAAAAAACAAGAACATTATCGTCCGTTCCGTATGCAATTTGGAGGGAATATAAAAGAATGTCCGGGGGGCAACATCTTCGATCTGATAAACCAATGTTTAATGATATTATCAAGTGGCCTTGTGGTCCAGTGCACATTGGGAGACAATTTCGAGTGTTGCATCATCAGCTGAACAGTGGTTCAGGTGGCTCTTTCCTTCCTCCCATTCTTTAATCAGTCTTAGTTTAACTCCCCATACAGGGCAAATCCATATCAATCTGTTCATCCGGTCAAGAACCCACTAATTCCCTTCTTTTCACCTTAAAATAACAGTTCATGTTTCAATTATGTGATCGTTGACCAGAACTTGCCAACAGTGCCCTGGTGTTAGGTTTACACTGGACACGAGAAAGATATGAGTGCTCCAAATAATTGATGCAAGCTGCTAATATTCAACTCTCTTCCTGTCTGAGTAGGGCACGCAGTGTTCTATCAAGAAGATAACAAGATAATTAGAGTATAGAAATCCCAGATTCAAAAAAGAAGACATCGACCGTTTGCAACACAGACATCAATCCAATATCGCAACTGCATCATCAGCGGGGGAACAAGAACATGTTCATTAGTTTATGCACGAGTGTTGGGCGTCATCCATATTTTGATTGTCTCATTGACCTTATCTCTCTATTCCACGGATGTTTTTTGGACCTTGTATTATAATGAAATCCCATGAACCCCGGCTCTATGTCCGCAACAACAGTCGACGCCCGATTTCGACATCCTGGCTTCTCCGTATTATCATCGCTCGTTGCGGACGATATGTGCACATCGAATCAGTAGGGCGTAAAACACGGGCGCTGCGCCGTCGAAGAAGCGCGCCCGCCAAGTCGGTTTGGGCTCGACACGGATCGACTGAGGGAGCACGATAAGGAACCCGAGCTGGCATAGGGAGGGGTCGAGATTTACTCGAGTGCTCTAAGATGTCTCGATACCGAACTACATAATAAATAAACAAATAAAAAAAAAAAAGGGGGGGCAAATGTGGATGACGAGTTCCTGGGCCCTAGGTAGGTTGAATGGGCCTTGCGGGTGTGAGGAGGGCCCGGCAAGGAGACAGAGCAGATATGCTCACGTGTCGTTGGGCGCCGGTCAAAGTCAACATTTTTGAGGGGGGGCCACACGTGTTGCTGTCCGGTGTCGTATTGTGTGTGTGTGTGTGGGGGGGGGGGGGGGGATGCCCACGTGCGAGGCGACGACCCGCACGTGCCCCGACGGCCGGCCCTGTGATGTGCCGTCGCATTCGGCTCAGACCGAGACACTCACACGTGAATCATGGGCCAACAGCCGGTCCGTTGTTTGGGTGGCCTCGTCTTCTCCTGTTTCTTTTTGTTCAATCACGACACCAACAATAATAATAACAATATGGCATTGAATAGCGACTAATAAAAAAAAATTCGAAAAATTCATATCCCACGAGTGCCATGTCTCATGGATAGCGCCGTCCATAATGGCGAGCATGGCTTCTAAGATTACTCTTAATGGGCAACGTGCCGATCTGATCATGAAATTTAGATATGTCCAGATCAGCTTAACTATCTTGTCAATCTCTAAGTTAGAAAATCAAATCGAATGGACGGTCAAAATGATTCCGAAAGTAACGAGTTTAAGGCACATACGTATTTTCGATGACGGAAGTTTCGATTTCCTACTCTATGTAACTACGATGTGTTTTGTGATTAAGGCCATCAAGGGAAGCTGCACTTAGGGTCATTATCGAAATCTATTATGCGCGAGGTCCAAATTCGATCCCTCGCACTCCCAAAATCCATCCGAGTTATCATCCTATACTTGTCGATCCATCAGCTTTTTCCGGTTCATCATCAGTCACGTTGTTGTATTGCCAACCATCACCTTCGTTGTAGGGTTAATTTGTCTCCAAAAGCAGGCACGTTTCCCTTTCACCATCGCCATCAGCTAGCTAGGGTTTCAGTAACTCTCAATCGTCATCGCTTCGCGCAGTATACAATGAAGGTCCTCATCATCCTTTTCTTCGCCATCTCTCAGGCTCTTGTACCCGAGCGAGAAGCATCAGATTACGGCATCTGATAATAGTAGTAATTACGTAGGCAAGATTTGTAGATTGCCTTTATGTAAGAGATAGTACATGTGCCTAATCTTATCCCATTTCGTCCCTCGATTTTTGCTTCCCCTTTGCCTTTGCGTGTGAGAATGATCTTTAGAGAGATAGATGCAGGGAACACTCCCCGAGATGTGGCTCGAGAATAACTATGTATGTTTGGCCAATTCCTTTAGAATAAATGGACAGACATTATTCGTCGCGATATTGAGAGAATAAATATAAATTTCTCGCGATAACGTGTGTGTTTCTTTCGTTTCGTGCACTTAGAAGATGAGAAGAACGATTGAATCCCCTTATTTCGCCATTACCACCATGGTCTACATGTAGGCCTCGACCTAAATCAGAGAAAATCCCATGTAATATACCATATCACTGATCTAAATCGATTCCGATCGAGTGTGGCATACACATGATAAGCTTAATGTCTAAATGATTTGTAGAATATATGATGTATACGTGGCATCTCTATAATATCTAGAAGATATCTTTAACACACCTCGGAAATAATAACTCGAGTTTGGAAATAATATCAAACTAATTTGCAAAACTTTTACTAATAATCATATTTAATCGTTTCCTCCTATACAATAATTTCTACGTGGGAAAATAAAAACCAATCCAAGGAAGGTAGTGGCGCACAAATTACCAAATTCTAACAGGTGGATGTGCATCTCCATGCCCAGCTTCTTAGAGGGACTATGGCTGCCTAGGCCAATGAAGCTTGAGACAATAACAACTCTGTGATGCCCTTAGATGTTATGGGCCATGCGTGCTAACACTGGGTTTGGGGCTTTATTTCTCCGCTAAATCATCGAAACATGTTATGCCTCCATGTATGTTTTCAAACCGCAACAAGTTTTGTTTGATATATGCAAGCTACTATGCATGCTAATTTTGAAAATCGTTTTGCAAAATTTTAGAGGGAACATGAAGAAGACTTTGGGTAGACAGTGCCACGAGCACGTTTCAAAGTTAGTGCTGTCAACATTAACTTTATTTTCTGCTAAAAGCTGTCAACATTAACTTTTCCTATCATCCTTATGTAAACATCGTTTGAAAAGCAAGCACTATATGATTCGATAGAACGGGCGAATATGTGATAACTAACATATCTAAAAGCTAGCAACATTATGTTGTTCTTTCGAGTAATCGATGTTAAAAGACTGCTATACTGTTTGAAAGTGAGCGCGGTTTAGACTTGTGAAAACAATGAAGCGCCTCTTGTGATGACAATTGCATGATAAGGATTCATGCGTGATTGGGTTGGGATCAATGCAACAAGCTTGATATAGCACGTTGTGAGACCGTTTGGTGAAGACCCTATATTGGTACTT